AATTGTAGTTGGGCAAAGTATATTACACAACAGGCCCATCATGCAGAGAAGACACTGAACTAGGCATGAGGCAGACGTAAAGAGCTGACAAAGAGCAGGCAAAACACCACTTGTGCTACCCAGGCTACTTAAAGCAATTTGCAAAATAGCGCCATTTAGCAGGCTTTGGCAGCATGGAAAGAATGGAGGCTCGTCAAAGAAACTGGGACAAGAGACAACTGTTGTTTGTGGTTTTCAAGAAGTAAACAATGCAGTGGGACAAACACTGTGAAGGAAAGTCTCTAGACCCCTTTCCTTTGAAATTGCCCACCATTGAACTTTTACTCAACTGTCACTGAAACGGCTTGTATTGGGACTATGGAATAGATCAGCACAGAGAAAAATACGCATTGTAATTTACTGTGTGCGTTTTAAAATAACACTTTATTAAGCGAGGGGGGAAAAAACCCATCTATAACTACCCTGGCACTGTGTATATTAAATGTAAGAAATAATAGTGGGAGGAAGTAAGAACAACCTTTATATAATTTGCCAGGCCACATGTTTATTTATGAATATTGCTTTTGATCAGCCTTCTTTATCAAATGTATTTATTGATTAATAAAATTATTTATGTCCCACCTTTCACTTGTGGCTTAAGGCAGCTTCCAACGCAAAGATTAAAGATATTAAAAAACATAGTAAAACCTCATTTATCTTCAAGAAATTGCCTGTAGCTTAAACCACATTTAATAACCCTTACAAATGAAATGGCCTTAGAGCGCCTCCTGAAAAATTCTACAAATGGTGCCCCCTCACCTCTTTGGGGAGCCTGCTCCACAAGGTGGTAGCCTCTGTAGAGAAGGGATGGGCCCCGGTAGACACTGCACAGGCAACCTTAAATTGGGGGTACAACTAGCCCATGGAAACCAGAAGACTGTAGATGATGCATGGAGATATATGAGGAGAGACAGATCTTCAGATATGTAGGTCTGACCCTGTGAAAGGCTCTAAAGGTTATAATCGGCAACCCAAACTGAACTTGGAAACAGACTGGTAGACAATACAGCTCTTTTAAACTAGGTGAGATGTTTTTCCATCCGTTAGTACCTGACGATAGTTGGATTGCTGTGTTTTAAACTATTTTGTCTTTATATGTCACTATAAAATGCCAGTTTTGCCCCACATATTAGTATTCTGATGCAATACAAGCCACCCAGAAGACAGGTATAGAAGTATATTACAAAGATGCAGTTGCCTACAAAAAGAAACATTCAGGCCTTGGATCCATGCTTCTGTTTACTCAAGAGGGACTCCGCATTTTCTGCAGATTTCCCCCTTGAGCTGCAGTCTTCCGCATCACCCAAGCTTCAGGAGAGACTTTTCAGGGAGCACAAGGGACTGCAGCAGGAAGATGGAAGTGGGAAAGGTCTGTATCAGGAGCAGAGCTCCATATGTGATTATTGGGATCAGTTTTTAAGTAGAAATGCCAAAACCTTTTATTTTGAGAAGCTGGCTGAATGCACATTGTAGTCATAGAAAAGTGTTGTAGAAAACTTGAAATTACAGCCTTCTGCTTTTTGGCCGTCCCCTGAAATACAAGAAGGATTAACAGCCATGAGAATAGCAACTACTTATATCAATAAGTAGTAACATTTAAATATTTGTAGTTTCCAGCATCAGCTCGAAATTTGCATCATATCCTGAATACACCTTACTTGGAAGTAATATTCACTGTTTATTTACTGAGAGTTGGTTTGGTGTAGTGGTTAAGACGAACGCTAATCTTGAGAATTGGGTTTGATTTCCCCACTCTTCCACATGCAGCCAGTTGGGTGACCTCGGGTCAGTCACAGTTCTTTCAGAGCAGTTCTCTCAGAGCACTCTCAGCCCCACCTACCTCACAGGGTGTCTGTTGTGGGGAGTGGAAGGGAAAGGAGATTGTGAGCTACTCTGAGTGAAGGGTGGGGTATAAATCCAACTCTTCTTTTTCTTCTTTACTTCATTTGTACCCAGCCTTTCTCCCCAGTGGGACCCAAAGTGGCTTATATCATTTTCCTTTCTTCCACTTTATCCTCACAACCCTGAGAAGCAGGTTAGGCTGAGAGTGTGTGACTGGCCCAAGGTCACCCAGCAAACTTCCATGGCAGAGGGGGGATTCTAACCTGGTTCTCCAAGATCCTAGTCAGATACTGTAACCACTAGACTATGCTGGACAGTGGCAGTTGTTTGCACCATTCTAGTTTGCTTGGTTCGGGTCTCATTAAAGTGACAAAGTGCTGATTCATATATGGAAGCATGCCTGTAATCTCTAGTGAACCGAGATTTTGACAAAGTTCTGTTTGTGGCAGTTGAAAATGGCTACGATGTCAGTAAGCCTTGGATTTCACTAATAAGAATTAATTACAATTATAATAATCTGGTTTGGGGTTCACCCGTGTGGTGCCCACAGGCACTATGATGCCAGCCAACACCTTTCCTGAGGTGCCTGCCGAGCATTTTTAGAAAGTGGGAAGGGCCAGGTGGAGCTTTTGCCCAGCAGGGCTTCTGATTGGCCAGTGGAGATCAAATGGGGTGTACAGAGTTTTAAAACGTTGCTTTAGCAGCAGCAGCTGCTAGTGTAGCCGAATGATCTTCACTGCGTGACCAAACGTAAGCAGTGTATGCACCAATTTTTTAAATAAAAAATGGATCCTGACCCCTACTTTATATGTAAATGAGAAGGAATGCTGCTGTTTGGGATCGCTTGCAACTTAGTTCTATTTGTCCAATATGATATCTATTGATAGAAGTAGAAATAAAGACTCTCAGGCTTCAGCACAGGGTTGTGAGGTTTTGGGCAGGGAAGAACTGTTTACTGTTGTGAAAGGGGAATGCACTTGTGATACCCCAGCTGTGATGGACCCATGTCATCAGCCATGATATCACAACATATCTCCCTCCGGCCTCTATAAAACCTTGTCAACCTTGCCTTTAAAAGCCACTGTCAATTGATTTCCCCTACTGTCTTCCCGCACTATAAATGAATAATTCCTGGTAATCAAATTTAAAGGAGAAAATACCCATTTGTTACTGCACAGGGTCAACACCATGGACAAAGACTGGACACTTCACCTTCATTGAATTTGGCTAGTTAACCCAAATTTGGAGCTATATTTCTCCCCATTTGGGGAGAAATTGCTCTGGCAATGCCTCTCACAATAGAACTTGTTAATAGTTTGGCATTTTGGGGGTGACCAGATTCCTTGTGTTGCATTCTTCCCAAACAGGAGCTTAGAGATATCTCTGGGAGGCCCTGCTTCTGTTGTTCGAGAACAAGTGCTTTGATTTGCTGCTTATTATAGAGCATCTTCTTATTTTGGCTCTCTCTTGTTGGCTGCTTTTGTAGGGCCTATGTTACAAAGTCCTCGTTTTCCGTTCTATTGATAAGCTTTTTCAATTAGGGCTTCCTGTGGTGGTTGTTATAGGTCAGAAAAATGATGAAGAAAACAAGGCTTAAGTTTACTCCCTCCCAGGCTGTGTGGCATGGTCCTGATCCAAACCAGGTCCACATGCACCTGAGAATTAAATTCATGAAACTTTCAAAGCACATCTGGTCAACAGAACTGGGGCAGGCATGCAGGGAATGTAAGGACTTTTAACATATAGGCAGCAGTCACACAAGCTGTTTGCAGCAATATCATTACATAACCTTTGCAGATTTAAAGAGCATGATCAGACTACAACATCTGCCTCCCGTGCCCCAGTCGTGGCCACCCTGTTTTGCCCTGCTTTGGAAGCAGAGTAACCAGGCACTGGGGAAAGTCTGGTCTTAATGCCAGCACTTCCACTCTGCTTTTCTGTCTGTCTGAACTCCCCTGTCTTGAACTGAAGCTGGATGGGAAGTCTGGACGGGCAGATCTATTTCTGCTGTGTTTTTTTTAAATAGCTGCCAATATTTGCATAAGTGCATGAGTGTATATGCACATGTGCCTGCCTGTTTTTTTAAGAAACCGACTGGACAGCACACTCCGTGGTTGAGTGTGGACGCCTCACCACCGGACAAGTGTGTGGGAAAAACTGCCACAGGGTGTGCTGTCTGGTTGGTGCTTCCTGCAACAATTCGCACTTAGAAGTGCGCACAGACTGCGCCAAGCCTCCAGTGTGACCACAGCCATAGTTAGGCACTTCGTCCATTTCAGAGACTAGAGTAGCTGCTTCTTTTTGGTCTAAGAAAGACAGTGTGGCCTACTAAACAGATGGACCTAAACAGATATAGTTTCAAGTCCTAACTAATGTACGGATTGTTGTGGTTTGGCCTTTGGGTAAGTCTCAGTGATGAGCTACTATGCAGTTTGTAGTCCCAGTCATTTCATTGTACTTGTGAGAACTTTCCTGTGAATTATGCCTTTCAAGATTTTGCATGCGTCTCAGAATTGGAGTGGATCTTTGTACCTCATTTTAAAATTGTTTTTTTTTTGGGTGGAGGGGAGTTGCAGATGTCTTCATATGCATAGCACATATGCACACACCCTATACTTTTTCTCCTTGTTTGTACTACTATTTACTACATCTAAGTGTGTGCACAGTTATCATACTAGATGCTGTGATATAGTGCTTGTGCTCAAAAATACAGTCTGGGATGCAGATGCTCTGTGGAAGATTTAAACTGAGAATGCTCTAATGGTTGGGAAAATTGAAAACATAAGATGGAGCTCAAGAGAGAGTATACCAAATCAAAGCACGCAAGACTTTTAAGCCTTTATTGTTTGTGCCTCTTATCTTAAAGGGATCTGCCAAATTAGAAAAAGCAGAAATCCTGCAAATGACAGTCGATCATTTGAAGATGCTCCAGGCGACAGGCGGGAAAGGTAAGGAACTGATTTTTGTACGGTTTCTAATGTTAGCTGGGGAAACCTTAGCAAACTCTCCTTTTGACAAGCCGGGATAGGCAGTTCTAGATTAAAGGAGTGGAAATCAATGCTGAAGGCAGGGCTGAACTCGTGGGAAAGAACTACTGGGACAAAAGAAGCACTTGACCCTGGGCTTGTGTTTGCTTTCATAACACTGTGGGAGAGTAAAGGCTTCATTCACAGGCAGCCCAGTCAGAGATTTGTTTGGGGTTTCCAAAGAGCACTGAGATCAGCACAAGGGAGAAAAACAAATACCCCAAACATCCAAACATAAACAAGGAGGGCTTCAGCAACAATTGTGCAGCAAGAAACAAAACCAAAGTTAAAATTAATCATGCAGCTGCTATACCACAGGAAGTGGATCCAGAGGAAAACATTTCTTATTGTTTATGTATAGCATTTTGTTTTAGAAAAGAGTGTTTTTCATCAAAATTAGGCTGTGCCATTCATTCTCCAGGTGTTGGACAGTTAAGGGGAGACCCAGTACTAATAAGAAAAAAGAAGATTCCACAGTCAGTGCCCATTCTGTGTGCCTCCATGTGTGTTGTATCCAACAGAGAATTCAAACAAATTCAATTTTATGCTTTACCATGAGCTTCCTGGATGGCTTTACGGTATATGTGTTATTCTCTTGGCACCTCTCCTCTCCCCCCCCCTGCCCCCGGTCTATATGGCCTTTAAAAATTATCGTCTTTACTCTCTTCACCTGAGAGTACCTTTAAGGTGGTGGGGAAGGTTGCATGTGTATAAAGAGGACTTGCCCCTTCCCTTCCCGCTACAGGGGCTAGCGTGCTACCACTCAAGCTCTGCCCTTTCTTTTGCTATACATGGCTTGAGGCCAATGCTAGCTCTAAGCTGTGGAGTCTTGTGAGCTACTGGCATTAAAGTTGTGATTTGGCTACTGCATAAATGAGTTTGCTCTGGAGCCATCCTTACTGAGCTAAGACAAAAATGTATGAGCCAGAGGCTAAAAAACTGTGAGCTAGCTCACACTGACTCAGCTCAGAGGGAACACTGCTTGAGGCGCTGATAGAGGCTATGGGTATTGTGAGCTCGCAGGGTCCTCCCCTGCCTACTAGCTGGCTTTAGCATAGTCAGGAGTTTCTGGGTCTAAGTGTGGACAAGCAACAGGCCCCCTGGGTGAGAACTTTGAACACAGTCTGAGATCTTTAGAAGGAAAATATCTTTATTTACTAAAATACAATCTTGATTCGCTAGAGTACAAGAGCACTGGAAAACTATATCCAAACACTACAGGGTGTTACAGAGCTAAGCAAAGAAACAAAAGTATGAGGCAAACTAAGTTCTACGAGTCTCTGGTGTTACCTTGGCATCCCCTCCTGTGGAACAGACAAGTTTGCTGGAGCTTTGAAACAGAGGCTGATCATGGCAGACTTCACTCCATTTCTCTCTGTTCCCTGGTTCTTGGCTTTCACACTTTCTCACAGTGTATCGCACCTTTTAACCCTTCCTCTCCCAGTTGGGATGGTTTCACTTTAACCTAACCTGAAACTGGGTTTGAGTCCCCTCGTGTGCTGCCTTGCAGTCTTCTCCAATCATTATCAAGGAGTGCATTCCTAAACTTTGTACAGCCCAACTCAGGATATCTGACTAGCCATCTGTCTTGCCAATCGCCATCCCGTCTTATTTGTCTTCAAAAAGAAGTCATCTCCTCTGAGCCTGAAATCTGAGGAGAGTACTGCTTCATTCCCAGGAAAGAATGTTTTCACTAAGATCAGGGCCTCTCGGAGAGTTAATCAAGGTATTTCAATTCCTCTATCACAATAGTGCCTGCTTGCCTTACAGAACTTGAGATCATGTAAATGGCGCTTTGAGTGGTCTGATACATGACATAAATGTTAAGATTTATCATTGGGCAGGATTTCAGATGCCAGGGAGATTGCACTCCCTTTTCTTTTAGTACGCTAGTCTTCTCAGTACACCTCATCTAACAGATTTGTTGTGAGGATACATAATCAGCATTGAGCTTTTGAAGGAAATGTGTGTATGAATGTGACCGAATGTATCCCCAATTTCCTCCTCTTTTTTCAGTTCCTTTGCCTCTGCCACCTTGCAAAGCTATTTCAAACTCAAACACTGCATACAGACTAGATGTTGCACATTTAATATATTTAATCATTTGCATACTTATACTGAGCAAAGAATGTCAGTTTCCTTTGTATAGTGCTGGATTTTTATAAAGAGCATAGGATTTTGGCCTTTAACCACAGGTGTTTTTATATATGAGGCTGCATAACTACATGTCTCGTTTTTCTCAGGTACAGCCTTGAGTTGAGTCATAGACATGTTCTGAAAGCTCCATCCTTCACAGGGGTCTGATCTGGATCAGGACTGCAGCGTACAGGAAGAAGGGGCTTAGATCTTCCACCAGCACTGTTTTCCTGACCGCTGACAGCCCGTAGGAGCAACTGTTTGCTCAGCTGAGGAGAGTGATGTGGAACTGGGGCAAATAGCAGCCCTCTGGCTGTTTCAGCTGGGGGAAACTGTGTGTGTTTGTGTGGGAGGGTAGATCTAAGCTTCTTCTCCCTGCATCCATCATTTCTGATCTGAACTGGCTCCCTGCGAATCTGGGAAGCACAAAACTCCCTGAGCACATCTGTGACCGGAACTGATGACCTACCAGGGAAAACATCATGTGCAGTTAATGTTTTCTGCTAATATGATTTTTAGGCAAGCAGTGTGTTGGGCAAGGGCAGACAATTATTACTCAGGTTAATGTGGCAGCTAGTTTTGATTCTAGTGATAAGTCTCTAAAATGGTTACTGAGTTGAAATGACCTACTCATCATTTTTTTAAAATGTCCCTTTAAACACACATGGGCTTAAAGGTGGGCATTACCTCTTGCCATTTTATTGTTGTATTGAAACATGGCATCCAGGCTGTCCTCCCTGAGACACTGACTTCAGCGAGCCTGTAAGGGTCTGTCTTAGCTTAGTATTGTATTGTGAATCGCCTACAGATCTTTCTCAGCATTTTACTTATGAAATGTTGGATCTGGAGGGACAAAACCTCACTCTTTTCCAAAAAGAGAATTAACAACCACCCACATACCAAATTACATAAAAAGAATTAACTACCCCCACATATCACATTAAATAAAATATGCTTTTTGGAAACAAAACTGTTGCCAAGTATTGATATTGTAGTTTTGGAATATGTGGCATAGAATGTTAATGAACAAAATGACAACTTCTAATCTCACCTGTTAGAAGTGAAATATATGCAGTTATTATTTAGCTAGAATAGCAGCCGTTTATTTATTATTGGAACAAGATTTACTGATTAGTGAATGTTGAGGCCAAATGAGAAAGGTGGCCTACAAATGACATAAAGTACATAAATAAATAAACAGATCTTAGTTATGTAAAATTCAATAAGCATTGATAATAGTATGTGTTAAAATGGTGTGTAGAAGTTCTCTAATTTGATCTTTTTTAGATGTAAACTTTGATTATGCTCAGAGTTGTTCTCTTATATTTTATTAAATAAAAAGCAGCAACTTGGGTTTTTCTGCACTCAGGTTTATAAAATAGTATGTCATAGTCTGTAATACTCAAATGAATATAGCTACAGTGATATAGAGCACTGGGGGATGATCTCACAAGAGGGAAATTGCAGTTGATCTAAACGAACTCTTTTTAACTGTCTAATCTTCATATTGTTTTAAGAATCAGTCAACTTGCAATAGCAATTGATCTGTTTCAACACAGTTTCTTTGTTCGGGATATTTTTCTGCTGTTCACAAGAGCGACAGGTGTTCTTCTTTTCTGCTTTCTGTCTTGTTATCCTGAAGCATGCAACTAAATTTAAGGCTGTGTAAACCTGCAAATGATCTTAATCTGTGCTGGTAACTGTGATTACTATTGTATGAATTAAGGCCCATTGGCACACAGTGGTAGCAGGGGAGACTGCATGGCTAGGCAGTTCAGCAGCCCTTTAGGAATCTGTAAATGTTTAATGAAAACTGTAGCTTGTATGATTTCAGTAACAAATGCAGAGCCACCTTTCTCAGGAAGAGCTACGGTGATTATTTTAAATGATCGTTTGAAGCTGTACCTCCAGTGGTCACTTCCTTGTCAATAGCCTTGTGTTGTAACACAAAGATTATTAGTAAAAATACATCTTCAGTAAATGTTAATCAGTGTATCTAGTTCTCAACCACAGCCAGCCTTGGTTTCTGTCAGGCAGGGAGACAGGCCAGGGCCCTTTCCAGGGCTGTTTCGGCCTTTGAGGGAGGACTTATTGGGGCCAGGCCCAGCAGCAACCAGTGGGTGACTTGATATCACTTGACTGCATGACTGACCTGGGCCCACCTGTTTATAACTGTTTAGCAGCAGCCACCCCAAGAAAGCCAGTGTGGTATAGTGGTTAGAGTTATGGACTCAGATCTGGGTCCCAGGTTCAAATCCCCATTCTGCCATGGAAGTTCACTGTGTGACCTTGGACCAAACACATATTCTCAATGAAGCCTACCTTACAATGTTGTGAGTACAAAATGCAGGAGATGAGACTGCCATAGGTTGCTTTAGGTCTCCAGTATGGAGAAAAGAGGGATATAAATGAAATAGAGAAATTATATAACTGAAGATGGGGGCAGTTAAAGGTCTGGTGGGTGGACAGGAAGGAAATAAGGAAGCATGGAAAAGTTATTATATAGGGGTTGCCAGAAAGCTGGAAAAAGGGAAATAGTGTAGGGAGAGGGAGTACAGGGGAAACTGAGAGGTCTTCCACAGGTCCTTGTGGGTTCCCCACTGCACAAATGGACCCCTGTCCAGATTGATGGCTGGTAATTAAACTGCCCTTTAGGAACATGTAAATATTTAATGAAAGCTTTTAGAAACCTTGTATGATTTCGGTAACAAATGCAAAGCCACCTTTCTCAGGAAGAGCCATGATACTTATTTTAAATGACCATTTGAGGCTTTACCTCTAATGGTCACACAACAGTTTTCCCAGGGAGAGGCTACCAGGGGGAGGAAGGCGGAAAAGCTGAAGATGGGCAGATAAAGGTAGGTTGGCTAGTGGATGGGAAGGTGAGACGGAAGCAGGAAAAGGGGAAGCTGTGGGTTTTTAGGGACGTGACAGAAGAAATAGTGGGGGAGGGAGGAAATCTGTTGGGTATTACAAGTTGAAAACACTCAGTATATCTGGGGTTAAATGTTTGTTTATGTTACTCACAGGAAGTCACATGTTTCTCATGTAACCAGTGTTCTTTAGATGTAGAAAGCCCGGGAATTTTCTCCCTGATCTAGGAATTTGATTGGGACTAAAGAAGAAGAGCAGCCATAATCTCTCTTTTCTAGTTTTGTCTTTGTAGAGTAAGGATGTAGCCGATTTTGCTCTGTTGTTATTTTCATCCCAGTTACCCTTCCCCATGCTAGAATTTAGTGAAAACTTTATATTTTAATCACACATGGACTCTCAGTCTGAATTATTTTACTCTGGCTCTGCTGGACTATCTTATCTCTGCTAAATACCATTTTTTCAATATCTCACTATCACCCAACAAAATCAGATGCCCTCACAAATCCTTGTGGCTCCTGCGCTTGTTAATAGATATACTTGTGCGACAGTGAGTTGCATCTTGCCAAATAACCCATCACAAATGATGTTGCACTTGCAGTTTGGATTCCATGATCTGTCAGTGGAAGGTGCTGACAATTTCTTGTCTTCCTGGCTCTCTCCCCCCCCCCTGCCATTCACAACCCTGTAAAGATTTATTACATGGGTCACAGGACCCATATGGAGTCACAGAGGTTGGGAAGTTTCAGTAGGAAACGAGGTAAAATTGCTCCCTGCCTTTTGTATGAGTGGGGTTGTATGGACAAAAAAGGGAGTGGCTTTTGTCCCTTCTCCACTGTAGCCTCCTAATTTTCATGGTTGTTAGTGCACACAAGCTCTGTACCCCAGGATTAAACTTTCAAGGAGTTGGTTGCTAGGGGAAGGAGAAAGCCTGCAGGATTAGGAAACGTTGCACATATCCAACCTTTTCTCCTTCCCCCTACTACGGCCCACTGCACCCACCTATAAAACACTGTCCCTAGGATTTGGAGACTCCCCAGGAACAGTGCTACAGGATGTGGGAGAAGGTGTGGAGCTGGAATATGGTGAAAATCATGTCTATTCCTTATCTGAAGGAATAGACTAGTGTTTCTAGTATCAAGATCTTCGATATGCAAAAACACCTGATATAGATAAACATAGCCAAGGTATGAGAGAATGTTGAAACCTAACATTGTGGTGTTCTAAATATTAAGGCAGTATTGTTAGTATATGAATTACTTCTGCAATTGTTGGTCATATACTCATTAAAGCCTATTTAGAGGTTGATATTGACCATGAAAATGATATAGATATAAATAATGTGGGGAGAGGGAGGGTGGCCTCTCCAGAGATGCTTGGCATTGTTGAAATTATGGATTGGGAGACTGTCAGATCTAACAGTACTATACACTAGGGATAGGCACGAACCAGATGATGAATGAAAGTTCATCATGAATTTTGGCCGGTTCATGGTTCACTGTTTGGGAACAGAAGAACCGCCATAAACTTTCACAAATTTTGATGCAGTTTGTGGTAATTTGTGAAGAGCAGAAAGCCCCGCTGCTCAGCTGTCCAGTTTAAATGGCCCCCTGCTTTCTTTCCCCGGAGCTTTTCACGGGGACCAGAAAGCAGGGGTTTAAACTTTAAATGGCTCATGAACCAATATGAACCGGTTCGGTTTGTGAACCAGCATATTGGTTTGTGGTTCTGCCATGAACTGAAGCTCAAAAATGCAGTTCATGCCCATCCCTCCTACACCCTTCAGTGTTGGGTATGTCCGCCTGCCCATATGGTAGCAGTAAAATAGTGATTCAGTAGAATATCACAGACCAGGCATCACAAAATTGATCATGAGCTTAGAGTAACACAATCAATTACAAGTTCTCTGTAGCAGAAAATATGTGAGACATTCTAGGCTATGGAAAATGTTCAGAAGTTAAAGGATATTTTGCCTTTTTTTAATAATTCAAAGCAATATTCATTTGGGCAGTAAATGTAGTACTTTTCACTAGTCACAACAATATAATGCCAAAAGCTACAGGAGGATGCTACTGCTTACTACAGGTTACTCTGTATACCACATGATCCATCAGAGCATATTCTGATGCATGAATACATCCTTCTCTGTGTACAAATATCTATTAATTTTAAAAGCAGATGATCTTCATGTACACAGGAATGTAGGTATGGGTCAGGTTGAACGACAAAGAAGAAGAGATTGGATTTATATCCCGCCCTTCACTCAGAGTCTCAGAGTGGCTTACAAACTCCTTTCCCTTCCCCTCCCCACAACAGACACCCTGTGAGGTAGGTGGGGCTGAGAGAGCTCTGAGAGAACTGCTCTTTCAAGGACAGCTCTGACAGAACTATGGCTTGCCCAAGGTCATCCAGCAGCTGCAAGTGGAGGAGTGGGGAATCAAACCCGGTTCTTCCAGATTAGAGTCCGCGCACTTAACCACTACACCAAACTGGTGAACGATCAGCTCTTAGAGGCTTATTTTGCCAAGGAAACACAACATTTAAATGCCAACTTTTAGAGGCATGAGAGAAAAGGGCAAAATCTTACAGTCACAACTTTTAATACCCAACTAGTTGTTTTGTGTGCACCTCTTCCACACTTCTGTACATGGATGCAACAAGAGACAGGTATCGTTGTCGGGAATCTTTAAACAGATTTTGTCTTAAACAATAAAACAAGCATTTTTAAAAAGTATCTCTGAACTGGATGGTATCTTTTCATTTGATGACTGCATGTAAAGACAGCGTGAGCAGAACTTTATTTTATTGACACATTACACATATGTATAATATACACTTCGCTTTTAAAAAATAAAAGCAACTCTAAAATTAAACCTACAATATTACAGATCTATTGTTTTCCAAAAAAGGTTAAAAATTAAGTGATTGACAAAACTATTTTTGCTCTCTCTGTGTTTCAGGTTATTTTGATGCACATGCTCTTGCCATGGATTTCATTAGTATTGGGTTTCGAGAATGTTTAACTGAAGTTGCAAGATACCTGAGCTCAGTGGAAGGTCTGGACACATCTGACCCTCTGAGAGTTAGGCTAGTCTCTCATCTCAGCTCCTGTGCTTCTCAGAGAGAAGCTGCTGCAATGACCTCGTCTATGGCACACCACCACCACCCTTTGCATCCTCACCACTGGGCAGCAACTTTCCACCATCTCCCTACAGCTTTACTACAGCAGAATGGACTACATTCCTCCGACATCTCTCCTTGCAGACTGTCAACAGCGTCAGAAGTGCCTCCCCATGGATCTGCTCTTCTCACAGCCACTTTTGCTCACGCTGATTCCACACTTAGAGTGCCCTCTGCCGGTAGCATTGCTCCCTGCATACCACCGCTTTCTACCTCTCTTCTCTCACTCTCTGCCACTGTACATGCTGCAGCTGCAGCGGCTGCCCAGAGCTTCCCCCTGTCATTCACTGGGGCATTCCCAATGCTTCCACCTAGTGCAGCGGCAGCTGTGGCAGCTGCAACAGCAGTCAGTCCACCGTTATCTGCATCCGCAGCTTCCAGTTCTCAGCAAGCAAGCAGTAACGGAAACAGTAAACCTTACCGACCCTGGGGGACTGAAGTCGGAGCTTTCTAAATCTTCCTTTCATAAGCCGCCTTGGGATGTTGTCAAGTTACATCAGATATTCCTTCACACAAAATTTAGATTGTTAACAGGTAAAGGTGCCCTACGGATGCCCAACAACCAGATGGGAAAACAGTGAAACTTTCTCCCCTTAAAAGTGTCAAAATGGACATGAGATATTTCTCCTTTGTTGCATTAGGCATCATATGGGACAGTGGTGATTGTCGAAACGATGACTGCCATGTAGGCATTGCCCAAGAAATGTATAGATTGTAGAATGAATCCTCTTGCCATTTGTTTGTATTTGCGGAGGGAAGTATGGATTATGCCTAAAACAGTTTTCAAGAAGGATGAATGCAAAAGTATGTGCCTGACCTCTTCCAACTCTGAAGAACATGGTTGGGGAATCATGTGATGAGATCCAGAAAGGGATATAATTCTGAGACAGGGTTTTTGCCAGAAAGCTACAGGCTTCAAACCTTTGGTGTAATGGGATTAAAGGAACCTTAACTCTCTACAGGATTGCCATCTAAAGCAATAACCAATATGATTCCTGAGGCCTTATACATCTACTTACCTAGCTCACTGTTTGCAGAGATTTATGAAGTGGTGATAGGTAACATAACATTAATAAAAGTGCTCTTCTTTCCAGTGTTTGGTTTTTTAAAGTACACACTTCAGGCCATTTTCTTTTAAACAATTGGCCTAAAGTTATGTGTCTCAGAATCCTTGTTCCGTACCAAGAAATTGCACTTGGACATGTCGACAGCCAGCATGTCTGTTTCTCCTTTGGAAACTAAAACTTAGCATCCTTCTGGCAGGATACAAAACCTTTATTCTCCTCTTTGGCACTTGTTTGGAATAATTTCTTCCATAGGTATGAAAGAATAGCTATAGTGTGGCTAAGAGGACCCCTTTGGCTCCCCCCCCCCCCCCCGTGCCAATTCTGTCATATGTCTTTAGATTCACAATCCAAACAAATCTGTTACATGGTGTAAGTTATTTTACCACCACCTAGACAAGCAGTGCTGCAAAAAAAAAAGTTTTGCTTTTTATTATAGCAACATGAAATAGCCTAAGTGTTTTAATTCATTGACTCAAGAGCTAGAGAGTTTATGTTGGGTGGGTGATAAATAAAAGCACAGCGTGTATTATTATGCACTTCATTTCTCTGCTGTGTGGAGAAAGCAATAAACATTGAGAATGTTAAACATTATGCAAAGTATACTTTTAAAATATTTGTTTTAAAAATACTATTGCTAAGTTGAGGGTGGGGGGAAATTTGTGCATTATTTTGTTAACCATTTTTCTATGCAAAAAAATCTTTACATATCACTAATTAAATGAAGTCCTTTTTGACTGACTTCTAGAGGTGGTTTATTGCTCGATATGCCTGTGGGGAGTAAAATATCTGAATGGGTTTAATGTGAGAAGAAGCCCAAATGGGCCCTGACCTGGATAGCCCAGGCAAGACTGATCTCGTCAGATCTTGGAAGCTAAGCGGGGCCAACCCTGGCAAATACTTGGAAGGGAGACCTCCAAGGAATACCAGAGGCAGGACGCAGAGGCAGGCCAATCAAGCCACCTCTCTGAAAAATGTCCAAGCCCCCAGTAGGGGTTGACAGAAGTCAACCACGACTTCTGGGTACACACACAGAATCAGCCCAAATGGCAGCTTCCTACACAACTGCTGGCAGCAGCATACTGTACAAGCAGAAGTACGGGAGTGGATTCTCTCATTAAATAACATGTCCTTTGCTAAATCCAGTTTCCCAAAGGTCTTGAAAAACCAGCAACCATACATAAAGTTGCTTTGAAATGTTTACCGATAGCTATGCTTGACAAAACAGATAACAAGTTTGGTAACTGCACTTTTCTTCTTCAAGAAAGGAATTACACTGATTTTGAAAATGGTCACCGAGATAAAATAAAAAGGAGATGCTTTTCAGTGCTTGCATTTGTCCTTCAAAAAATGATGTGAAGGGAGAAGCAAAACACTAGTTACTTTATTGTCCTCTAGCACTAAGAATTCACATGTGAGGTGAACATTCTATAGGGAACTAGCCAGAAAGGGTTGACTCAGTTATAAGAGACTCACTGGGAAGGGTTAGGGAACAGCTAGAAGTTCCTGAACGTACAGGTGAAGTGTGTGAGCCACTGGTGCACCTAGCGGATGAATCCCTACATGAGTCTTGGATTCCAGGGACATGGGTCTTGGATCCAGGCCTTGTGCATGTAAAGCATGGACTTGACCACTGAGCTATAACCCCTCTTCCAGCAGCTATCCATACCTTCCATGGGAGGCTCTCAAACATGTATGGCTGTACACAGCAGGGACTTGGTTTTGAAGGCACCTCTCGTATTTTCCACAGAACACGAAGGGTATAGCGTTTATTCATGAGTTATAACTTAAGAAACACAGATCAAGTCTGGGGGTCAGGCGAGCTGGCCATGAATCTCAAAAAATAAAAACGTCTTGAAAAACCACAGGTTATCAATGATTTAACCCTTTTATGAAGAGTGTATCCCTGGGATGGTGGTTGTGGAAAGCGCCATCAAGTCACAGCTGACTTATGGCGACCCCATTGGGGGCGGGGTTCAAGGCAAAAGACATTCAGAGGTGGTTGGCCATTGTCTGCCTCCGAATCACACCTGATATTCCTTGGAGGTCTCCCATTCAAATACTAGCCCGGGCCAACTGTGCTTAGCTTCTGAGATCTGATGAGATCGGGCTAGCTGTGTCTATCCAGGTCAGGTTATTCCCAGGATACTGGGATGATTTTGAGAACAGTGGCAAAATACTGGGGTTTTATTTCTCTCAGCATCACATATTTAAGATGGAGTGGTTGCCATACTAGAACTCTTACTTGGTAATGCTGGAACAAACTAAGCCTTTGAAAGTCAGGAATGAAGTATGCGTGTATAAGAAACTCCTCTCTGCTCCTTTCCTTAAATCCTGGTTCTCCTGTCTGTATATGGCCTGTTGGCAGCCCAGAAAGCAAAGTACTTCAGGTGAGGGATTCTAGAGCAAAGATGTGTGAATCCACAGGCTAAAAGTGTCATAAACATCATATTGCATCAACGTATTGAGTTGACCAGGGCAATATGCACCCAGTGCTAAGTCATTTCTTAGAATTCAGTATCCTGATTTGCATCCAGGCAGTAAAATAGAATCCATTTTACAAATTTTAAGTAAACCTTAGATCCAGCCTAGCTAGTAGAGCTCTTTTCCTGTAGTGGGATTTAAAATGTTGTCTAGCATGTTTTTAAAGGGTCTTGCATGAATAAGACACCAGCACTATTTATTTGATTAGTCCATGAGCATTGAGCTGTACAGCTAAAAGTATTATGAGCAATAATAACAAGAAAAGTATATTTGGCTACTGCTAACGAAATGACCTTTAGGCGCCTGCTGCTGCATCCTCAGGATGCATGTCAGGACCTAGTAAACCTATGAGAATGAGTCACATTAGTAAATCACTATTCAGCCACTAAACCTTTTAACAGTACAATGTGCTTTTCCAAGAGAATGAGGATTACGACACCGTTGCCTGCTGCCCACTGACAATCATGGGAACCAACCTTGGTAATAAATCCAGGCATTATTTGGCTCACATTGACTGGTTCTCATGCCATAACAGCTTCTTTGATGTGACCATCAAAACCCAAGGATGCCCAAGAGCGGTAGCAGGAGCCACAAGCAAAACAAAACAAAAGTAATCACTTGGCAAAAATATGTAAAGCCTACATTTTAAGTAGTCATTTTCACCATAGACTCCCCCCCCCAATACAAAAGAAATCACAGAAAGAGAACTGTTATATTTTGAGCATTGTTTTACACTAAGATTTCTAAATTTAATACCAACCTTGAGCATGAGCTAACCAAAGACAAATGTTTAAAAGCCCTATTTGTTTTAGTAAAAGTGATTTAGCACATGCTTAACGTTTTTATTGGAAAAAATAGGGGGATTTAAAAGGGCTTAATTTCCGGTGGATTTCCCCCCAGTAGTTGCTGCTAACATAGACAAAGGTGTTATTTTGTTTTTCAGCCCCATCTTTTTGTGTGTACACGCAGTTAAATACAAATGTGTGTGATCAACACCCAAACGGTTCCTGCAGAAGAAATGTAACCTTTCCTGAGACAATGCTGGGAAACTGCTGCCACACTAGAACTTATTTGCCAAGTGTTCCAGAAACAAAAGGCAAAACCACCAGCTCATTAGAAGCTTGGGGAATTACATGGTTTGGGTCAGGGGATCCTTCTAAACAGCTGGCCTTTCACAAAGGCACTTGAGTGATATATGGCACATGCTTTATCCAATACATTCTGTCTACATGAAGGTACTGACTGCTTAGAGAAAATGTGGTACGTATAATAGGTAGCTGTTCTCTCTAAAGCAGAGGAGAATGTCTTAAAACTAGCACTGATATCTGGTGGCTACAAGCTACTGATACCACCCAGCATCTTGGGTTGGAGTTGCAGAGAAACTGAGGCATTTGGCACAAAGTCAACAAAATAGAAAAGGCTGAGTTCTTGTGGCTATCCTGTCTGAATCAGCCAGGAGACGGGATGTGCCCATTTCTTCATGCTGTTGGCCTTAGGAGGACCTGAAGTTGCTTTCTAGCTGGGTTGTTTGGGTGCTTGGCTGCTTAACATAAGAACATAAGAGAAGCCAGTGTTGGATCAGGCCAATGGCCCATCCAGTCCAACACTCTGTCACACAGTGGCCAAAAATACCAGGTGTCTCTTGGAAATACCAGGTGCTTCCCTCTGTTATAAATAAGCAGATGTTACAAAAAAAACCCCCATAAATCTAATATTTACTGCTTACAAGGAAATCTCTGCTTTACTAAAATTTCCTTCTGGTGATAGTGGTGGGGAGGAGCAGGCAGCTGTGAAACAGTAACATGCGGACAGAGCATTTTTAAATCTGTAAACTACTAGTCCACATTGGTCAAGATGATTCACAATAGTCTATAAAATGCCAACATAACAAAAACAGGAAAATTTTAAAAAGTCTACATCATAAAAGATTAATAACTATTGAAATGCTTAGTGAAATAAAAAAAAGATTTCAGTTGTACCTTAAAGCAAGAATGTGATAAGTTCCAAAAGTGCTTAGAAAGAGAATTCCAAGCTGGG